GGTATTTTCGTAATAAAAAACTTTTTACTAAGGTTTATATATCTTTTACAAGCTTTGTTCAGAATTAAGGTTGAATAAAAATTGTTTTAGTAATTAAGATACTTTCCAAAGTTGTTTTAGTAATTATCTCAAACTTTTATCCTAAACACAATTATATTAGGGGTGTCAAACGAGTCATTAGCTCATGAGCTGGCTTTGCTCAATTTAGATTTTGACGAGCACGAGCTTTGATTTTTAGGCTCATTCAATAAATGAGCTAAGTGATCGAGCTTAAATGAGTTGGTGATTTATGCTAGCCAGCTCAGATGAGCCGTGAGATAGCTCACGAACAAATCTTTTTTTAACGATTTAAAGTAATATATTGATATGTTGTAAATATATTTTAGATTTAACAACTAAATATATATTCTCGCTCTCTTTTAACTACAAAAAACCCATTAAACAAATATTGAAGTCGTTTTCTTCTTAAATACGTCGAGTTTCTACTATGTACTCGATCTTGGTTATTTAGTTTAACACCCGACACGAATAGCAATATATTATTATTCACTTGTTAATTATCTATGTTAATTGTCATTGTCTTATCGTATGTGATATTAGATTGGTTTTGATTTAACATTCGATAACAATATTATTTGAATTTATCTAAATATTTAACATTTAAAGTTAATTTTAGGTTTTATAATAGTTTAATTTTAAATTATTTTATTATTATATTTATTTTGTATTAACTCGAGCTAGTTCATTTGGATCACGATCTAGATGATCTGAGTTCGAGCTTATGTTTTTAAGCTCGTATAATAAATGAATTGAGCCGAGCTGAGCTATAGAATACTTTAACTCATCATAAACATAGTTGAACCGAACGAACTAGCTCAGTTTCTCAGTTTGACACCCTTAGATTATATGAAGTGGAAAAGGGAGCCAAAATGCTTCTATTAACAAGTAGTAGAAAAGCAGACACATTTATTAACATTAAAACAATATTCTTAAAGACATAAATAATTAATAATTGTTCATACGAAGCCAAATCCATCAGAGAAATCCACAAGATGATGACAGCTCCCCATTTAGAAGTCGTAAAAGAAAAGTAAAGAAGATGTGCAGCACTTGCAGATTCATTTTATTTGTTAAATGAACAAATAATAATCGTGGTCCCAAAATAAAAATCATCAAGAAAAAATTTATGATGGATAACATTTAAATAAAAAAATTGAAACATTATAATATTACGAAATAGTTGTACATAAATGACGATTACAATTTTTGTTGTGAATAGTAAAAGAAATTCGGGATAACAAAATCATGACATTTTCTGTCATTAGGTGAAAAAAATTGAAATCATCATTTATAAACGCATATATCTCACCTCTCAATGTGTA